GAGCGAGAGTACAAAATTCAGCCCTAAAAGGAGAGGCAGAGGTCCTGCAACATGAAGGTTCTTAATGTGACCTCTTCCTCCTTCTCATCCTCCGCCTTCCCCTCCTCCACAGTTAAAGCAGAATCCAACACTGCCCTCCCTGAGAAGTCAGGCAGATTTGCTCATTCCCAGACACATTACAATTAAAATATGTTTCAGTCTAATATAAAATTCAGGTATGTTATATATGATACGTATATGGAAGCAGGTTTTCATAAAGAGCTTCACTTATTTAAAAGGCAAAAGAAAATATGCCTGTTGGCACATAACTGCAAGCCTGTAGTTGTGCAACAACAATCAGTAGCAGACAGTAATGTAAACATATGAACACCTAGGACATTTTTTCAACCTCTTTTATCCATAGCTGCATTTATAAAAAAACATCTGGATCGTCTTCACATTTTGCACAGATAGTGCCTAGTGTATAATGCCTTTCAGGTGATTTAGGAATCTGTAAAGTGTTTGATGTCAAGATTCTAAAACTGCATTTTTTCTTGTGAATCAGTTTCATGGCCCACATGTTCCAGAAATTAAAACTCTTGTCTAAGTAGCACTTATTCTTTTTTCTTATAGTCTAATCCCCTTTGTGCAGTTAAATGTATAATTATTTGTTTTAACTGATATAATGACTGATAAATACTGGAGGAAGAAATCTGTAAACATTTTGGCATGTGATAAGAATAAACATTGCTAAAAGATAAAATACCTAAATGCTCTAACCTGTTTATAGGAAAGCATGTGTATAGTTTATCTTTGTAGGGAATTGGGGGGAGAGGGGGTGCAATGCATTTGTCTCAGTTTTCCTCTTCTGCATAGTAGCAATGGAACCTTGCTGTACAATGGAGACTTGCTGTGCAATATCAAGTTTAGATATGTATTTTTTTTTACCATCTGACATTAAGAACAACTGAACTAAGCCTCATCTCCTTGCTCCCCTTTTCGTCCAATAACTGACTGAACAATCATTTCACTAAGAATAACTTTCTTGATTCCCTTCAGTCTGGATTTCGCCCTCAACACTCCACAGAAACTGCTCTCCTAAAACTCACAAATGACCTACTTTGACACAGTGGACCACCTCTTCCTACTTAAAAAAAACTCCACTCCTTTGGTCTCTGTGACTGTACTCTTTGCTGGTTCTCATCTTACCTATCCCACTGCACCTATAGTGACATACACAATTTTATGTCCTCCTCTTCTCATCCTTTCTCCATTGGGGTTCCCCAAGGTTTTGTTCTTTGATCTCTCCTGCGACCCCTCCTGTGCTGATATGGGTGTACTGGATGTACCAATTGGTACACCCAGTACACCCATATCAGCACATGTGATTGATGCCTTGTTTGGTTTGTTCCAATGCAAATGCATATTTGCCTTTACAATAAATTTGATTCATTTATTACACTGTGGAAGCACTTTTTCTTGTCTCCCTGGGAATGCTGTGCGCTGGCTATTTTTTCTGGTCCAACGAACCCCTGGCAGAAGTTCTGTGCGCTGGCTGATTTCCATGTCCAAAGTTGGAAGATATATTCCTTCCTTCCTGACCAATGACACTACAAAACAACTTATCCACGCCCTGGTTATATCCCGCCTCGATTACTGCAACTCCCTCCTCACACAGGCTATACCCCTTCAGTCTATTATGAATGCTGCTGCTAGACTCATACACCTTACCAACCGATCAACGACTGCTGCCCCTCTCTGCCAATCCCTCCACTGGCTTCCACTAACCCAGAGTATAAAATTCAAAATACTAACCACAGCTTACAAAGCCATCCACAACACTGCCCCTAGCTACTTCACCGACCTCACAGATACTGCCAAAATCGCCCACTCCGCTCCTCCCATGATATCCTCCTCTCTAGCTCCCTCATTACCTCCTCTCACACTTGCCTCCAGGACTTCTCCAGAGCCTCTCCCATCCTCTGGAACTCCCTACCACAGCATGTCTGGTCTGCCCCCACCTGTCTGCCTTTAGGCGATCTTTGAAAACTCACTTCTTCAGAGAAGCCTACCCCACCTCCACCTAAGAACTGTACTTGAATCACCTCTGCCAGATCATCCCCAGAAGTTATCACCTTTTGTATCACCTCCCCCTGCCTTTAGATTGTAAGCTCCACGAGCAGGGCCCTCATATTCCTTCTGTACTGAAATGTATTGTAATTGTACTGTCTCCCTTATATTGAAAAGCACTGCGCAAACTGTTGGCGATATATAAATCCTGTAAAATAATAATAATAATATCACCGCTGAACAGTATGGTCCACCAGTGAGGGGGATATCATCCCTACATCGTCGTTTGAGATTCCACTTAAAGGGCCCCTGCAGTGAGTGTCCTGAAAGCCTTTTGGCCCCTTGGGGTCTGGTCGCAGAGGTGAGGAGGCATTTTAGCCAGTGTGGGATTCAATAATCATTTACCTATCCATGTGGTTTTTTTATGCGTTTTTTGTTGAACATTTTTGCACATGAACTTTATGTCACATTTATGATTTTCTTAGTCACATTATTTATTTCTTCATTGTGTTTGTCAGGAATGGACTTGCCAGTAATGGTGGGACTCACCTGCCTTGTGGGCTGCAGTACCAGGGCTGGCCAGCGGGTGCTCCCAGCAATCAGAGACTCAACCCTGCAGTCAGCCAAACACCTGAAGCTGATTATGCAGGTCTATTTAAGGGATGGCCAGACCTGCAGTCTGAGCCTTGGTGTGTGTTTTTCCTGGGCCCCTGTATCTTGTTACCTGCATCCCTGTCCCTGTCTGACTGATTCGTTGCTGACCCTACCTGACCTGGACCTCTGCTGACTTCTCCTGTTTGATCCCTGGCTTGTGACCCCGACCATTCTCTGCCTGACCCCCTGTACCTACCTGCCCATTAGTTGCTGTACCCGGCTCGTAACCTGACTACTCTCTGCCTGCTCCTCCTGTTCCTACCTGCCCGATTGTTATTGACCCGGCCTGCCTGACGACGCTTGCATTGTATGTATTGTTATCTGTGGGTGGTTTGGTTTGGTTCGTTTGCACTGTGTTATGTTTTCGTATTGCACTGCGTTTATGTATTGTTAGTGTTAATAAATTATATTGTTTATAACATATCTGAAGCCTGCATTTCCCTGCGTCAGTTCACATACCTCTAGTCATACCCTGGAGCCCTGACATTGTTATTGTATTTTACGGTGCACAGTAATACATTCATTTGGTTACACTGTGCGTTTGTATCACCATTTTCTGTTTTATACTAGTTGCACTCTATATATGTTTGCCACATTTAGTTATGGTATTTATATGGTCACTGATTAGTCGTTTTATGTCACATGGCCTTTTGATGCACATTGTGTTATGATCCTTTGTTGCATGGTCACAGTTTTTGGCCTCATTGTGCGTTGTTATTGTCATTCTTCTGTGATAAGTGGTTTGTCCACTTTTAATGTTTAAGCACTTCATTTTGTATTTTTCACATTTTGCTCCACTTTCTCATCAGTTGTATTCACGTTATTTCATTTATGTTATGACAGACTCATTCAGTCTAGATTTCATACCACTTCCTCAAACTCAATCTATCCAAAACCTAGCTCATAATATTTCTTCCCCCACGACCCTCTTCCCTTAACTTCAAGATCGATGGCACAGCTGTCTACCAGTCATTGCATGCCAAGGTACTATGTGTTATTCTGGACTCTGAACTACAGAATCCTTTTTACCCCACTTCTAATCACTGTCTCAAGCTTGCCACCTCAACCTACTCAAAATCTCCAAAATACGCCCCTTCCTAACCAACAACACCACAAAGCTTCTAATTCAATTCCTGGTCATCTCTCGCCTTGACTACTGCAACTCTACTTAACTACTACCCCTCCTCATTCGCTTACCTTTATATAGGCTATCCCCTCTTCAGTCCTTCATGAATACTGCTGCCAGATTCATCTACCTTACTACTTGTTCAGTGTCTGCTAATCTTTCCACTGGCTTCTACTTGCCCAGTGAATTAAATTCAAAATACTAACAATAACTTACAAACATTTCTGGACCCCTGCTTTTTAGCTCTCTCATCACCTTTTCCCATGCTTGCCTCCAGAACTTCTCCTGAGCCTCTCCCATTCTATAGAAACCCTATCTCAATCTGTCCGTCTTGTACTCTGTTCACTTTTAGACGATCCCCGAAAACCTTCTCTTCAGAAAGATTTATCCTGCCCCCTCTCAACTACTGTACTTTTATTTTCTCCATTGGCGCATCCCCCACAGTTATACCTTTTGTATCTCTTGACCCTCTCTCTTAGATTGTAAGTTCTAACAATAAGGGCCCTATAATTTATTGAATAGTATTGTAAGTGTACTGTCTGCCCTTATATTGGAAAAGGGATCCCCAGTTACACAGCCCTTAATGAATAAGTAAGAGATACATGGTAACCTTGGTTACATATTCACAAAAACATTAAGTAGTAAATAAACAAACCACACAGTTCTTGATTAACCACTTGCCTTTCGTAGGATTTATCCCCTTTCTGACCAGGCCATTTTTTGCGATACGGCACTACATTGCTTTAACTGACAATTGCTCGGTCATGCAACACTGCACCCAAATAAACTTTACATCCTTTTTTCCCACAAATAGAGTTTTCCTTTGGTGGTATTTGATCGCCTCTGCGCTTATTTTTGGCGCTATAAACAAAAAAAAGACTGACAATTTTGAAAAATAAAATATATTTTTGACTTTTTGCTATTAAACATGTCCAGTAAAAAAATTCAAAAAAATCAAATTTCATCATAAATTTAGGCCAAAATGTATTCTGCTACAGGTCTTTGCTAAAAAAAAATCATAATACATGCAAATTAATTGGTTTACATGAATAATCTAGCGATTACAAATGGCGGTATATATACTGGAATTTTTTTTTTTTTTTTTTTAACTAGTAATAGCTGTGATCAGTGCCTTATAGCAGGACTGCAGGACTGTGGAGGGGGGAAATGGCTAACTGTCACTGACATCCCCAGTGACACCAATACAGTGGTCAGTGCTAATAAAAAGCACTGACACTGTACTAATGACATTGGGCAGGAAGGGGTTAACATATGGGGTGATCAAAAGTGCTGTGTGCTGTTTTACTGTGTGCTGTGTGTGTGCTTTACACTGTGCTTTACACTGTAAGCACACTGCTTTGTATGGCTCTGCTATGCAGAGCCATACAAAGCAGTGTGCAGGAGCTGACAGGGGAGAGATCTGTATTGTTTATACACAGGTCTCTCCCCCATTGGTAATACCCAGAGATCACCGGGTGCCGGCGGGGAATTACCGGCTGGGACCCGGTAATTGACAGCCAAGGCCGTGAGTGGCGGCACTGGTAGGGCCCCCTACCCAGAACTGCAAAATCATGTATATACGTTATTTTGCACACCTGTGCCATCCTGTAGCAGTATTTCTGCTATATGGTGGCATGGAAGCGGTTAAAAAAAAAACTGCTTACTCTTACTATTTTTTGATATTTACCCTTTTAGTTTTTTGGGAATGCGTTACCAGAGGAGCTGTGTACACCTTTCTCGTAAATGTGGAGGAGCAGATGTCTGGTTGGCCCCTTATTTTAAAGAAGCATCCATATTCTGATATGTACCCCCTCTCAGACCCCACATCCACATGGTCAGGGATGTAGGTAAGAGGTTCTTGTCCCCATCAACATGGGAACAAGGTGCTTTGCTAGAAGGCGCTTTCTGGCAAGGTACCCTCAGCATGTTGAGAGCATATGTCCTAGTATGGTTCAGGGGGGGTTGCTTTCTTGCCCCCCCCTTTCTGGCCCCCCATTTTTTGGAATACCATAGTTGTTTAGGGTGCACCACTGCAATTGTGGCGCCCTAGCAATAAACAATGTCATCAGTTGCTAAGACTCAGGCAGCTGTCCAGCACAGCTTCCTTGGTTGGTAGGATGAAGGTAGCTGTCTGCATCCCAGTAACCAACAGTTAACCAATGAGGGGGATTGCAGATGTAAGACCCTGAGTGGGAAATTGTCACATTCAGTGGTGATAGTAATATTGCCACTGAATATACCACTAATTCCTTCAGTAACCGAATAATAGCTTTGATAGGTTGGCAAATAACCCTATCCCTATTAATTAAGTCTAAAGGCAAATACTTTGGTTTTTGCTCAGACCAAAATTCAAAGACAACTTATCAAAAAGGTTAAAAGAGAGTAGTAAACTGCTGTAACATTTTGCCCCATCAAAATTATTATTCTAGTGTTTTTAAAGCAGTAAAATAGAGAAAAAAATGTATGAATAACTGCCGAAGCAGACTGTGGAGTTTGTAATGGGGAACAAGCCTTTTTTAGTTAAAATAATAGTTCTGGGGATTTTTGTGTTAAAAGAATGTACGTATCTTATGTTCACAAAGATACTGTATATACAATGTATATTCAAATATATTGAACAAAGTTGAGAACATCAAATAAAGAGTTGTGAAGTTTTCTGTCAAGACAACAGTAAAAGAAACTCCTCAGGAACAGCTTGACTTATTCCCCCCCCTTACATTTGTGCAAACAAAACTTTATGGTGTTGCTTGGAACAATTAATCAACATCTGTCTTTCCTTTTTCATACCAAGAGAAACTATATTTTTGCTGCACAAATTTGAGTATCTGGTGTTAATAATTACTCTGAAAGTAGTTACTGAATCCTATCCTCCTTAAAGCGGAACTACACTGCACCTGAGCATCACAAGCCAAAAACACTATTTAATCTATGTTTAATATTCAAAGCAAACTAACCCATCCACCCTTGTCTCTATGCTTTATTTTGCCTACAAAATGCTTTGAAAAACACATCCTAGAATTTCTGGACATGGCCATCTTGAGTAAGGGCAGATGATTCATGTAGCATTTACTTCCAGGAATCTACCCTTAGCTCATGCACGTAGGCAGAAGGGTGTGCATAGCTAAGAAAACCCCTCCTCCCCTCCTGAAGGCATCTGGGATGTGTGATGTCATTTGCCTAGTCCTGGAAACCAGGAACTAATGAAAGACATGTAATAAAAAAGTTTGAAACAAGTAAATGTCATATACTGTACTTTCCTATTTATTATTATTTTATTATTATTATACAGTATTTATAAAGCGCCAATAGTTCACTCAGCGCTGTACATTACAAAGGGGGACAGAACATGTGACAGAACAATACCAATACAATGCAAAACATGAGGGGATCGAGGGCCCTGCTCTTTCGAGCTTACAATCTAGAAGGGATGGGATAGTGGTACAGGAGGAGATAGCTGTGGGGGATGGAGTGGTAGGAAGAGTGGAGGAGGTCAGCAAGTTAGCAGGGGGTGGGGTAGGCTTCCCTGAAGAGATGGGTTTTCAGGGTGCGCCTAAAGGAGAGGAGAGTAGGTGATAATCTGATGGGTTTATGTACTAATGCTAGCAGCATAAGGATTAAAAATGGTCAGTGTTGATTCAGAGAGAGGAGTTCCTTTAAAAGTGGAGTTTCAGTCAGTTTTGTTTTTATTAAAAATCAGCAGCTACAAAAACTGTAGCTGCTGACTTTTTATAAACACACTTGCCTGTCCCAGGGTCCAGCGATGTGCTCACCCACACTGTCCCTTCTCTTTCTCTCCTCTCCACAGCGCTGGTATCTCATCTGTGGGCTCCAGGCTTTGACAGCTTGCAGCTTCACAGCCGGGTGCCCACTGCGCATGCTCAAGTTGCGCTGAGCATTCTGATTGATCCGACAGTCTTCTGGGACCTGTGAAGGTTCACTGGAGACTGTGGGAGGAAGGAGGGGGATAAACTTCCTACTCACTTCGCCATGGAGAACTGAGCCAGAAGTGGGAGCGGGCACCTCTCAAAACCAGGTACTCTCTCCCACCCAAAAGGTGCCAAATATGGCAGTGGAAGGGGGGAGGCAAATGAGTGGAGCTTCCACTTTTCAAAAAACACAAAATTCTAGCTGGTTGATGCATATCACAATAGTGTAATATATGCATCGTTTTTATCTTTAGACATGAATGCAATTTGAAAAATATACAATATTCTCTTGTATTGTTTTATGTACCTAGGATATGGAGATAGGCATGTCTCTTGTATCTTAGGACATCAAACTCAACATTCAACAGAAATAAGATGGTTATCACCCCAATAACCTAACTAAAAAGTTGCCTAAAATGATGAACTACGTAATGCTGAAGAAATAGTAATTAAAGAAGAAGTGGTAAGGGAGGTAACGTAGTATTTAATGGATAGTGATGACTATGAAAATGAAATTAAAAAGACAATTAAGCGATCTAAGAACTTATATATAAAACTATCAGAAAATCCATTCCCTAAAATACTTAATATTCTGAATTGTAAAATCATTTGAGTGTATGAAGCTAACTTACTAACTAAACAGGAATATGATATGCCTAAAATTGATACATACAATATTCCTACTTTTTATGTGATCCCTAAAATCCACAAGAACCCACTTAAACCACCTGGTCGTCCCATCGTTTCAGCTGTTAATGGTCCCTTAGAAATGATTGGGAAATATATAGATGACTTAATCAAGGACTTAGTTATTGCCTTGCAGTCATATGTTAAAGATACAAGAGATATTCTATCAAAGTTGGAAACTATTTAAGTCCCAGAAGATGCCCTCCTGGTAGGATTTGATGTGGAATCCTTATATACATCTTTCCCATATAGTTTGGGCCTTGAAGGGATAGCTTATTTTTTGGATCTACATTATCCCGAAATGGGAGCTCAAAATGAGCTAATTCTTGATCTTTTGGAATTTATGCCCTCACATAATTGTTTTCAATTCTTGGGAGCTTTCTTTCAACAAATCTGTGGTACTTCCATGGGAACCCCTTGGGCCCCAGCTTATGCTTGCCTTCATCTGGGACTATGGGAAATAAAAGAGGTATATACCTCGCCAATTTATCTGGGCCATGTTACACAATGGCTCAGATACATTGATGATATCTTTATGTTGTGGGAGGGTACCATAGACCAACTTCAGGAATTTTTAACCCTTTTGAACCAACATGATAGGAATATTAAATAAATGCATACCTATGACTATAGGGAGATTTCATTCTTAGATCTGTCCATTTCTATTCAAGACAATAGCTTAATCACAAAACATATAGGAAAGAAACAGCAGCTAATAACATTGCTACATGCGGGAAGCCACCACCCTGAATCCCTGAAACAAGGGTATACCGATAGGTCAATTTCTTCGAATATGAAACCCAATTTCAAGTAGAAGCAACACAAATGTACGCCGTACGGACCTGACAGCAGGGGGTTTTATACTCAATCCAGTGGCTGCAGCCACCGGGATTGTGCATAAATCTGACAGGCAGACAGGCCTGTCAGGTAGAAGTGGTCAGGTGGATCTGCCGCTTCCACAGCCTCCATTTCCAGTCCCTTCCCTGTGGGCATGCTACTGCTTGTCAATCTGCAGTTCCAGGGAGAGCTATAGCGGGCACCAGCGGGTGGAGGGGAGGGAGGAGAGCGGACCATGATGTCACTTACAGGTCACAGCTGTCACTTTCCTGGCTAGAATAGCCGGGGAAAGAGATGTATTGCAATGCGGTTTCCATTGCAATACATCTAAAGGAACCAAAGGAGACATGCAGGCCCTGCATGTCTCAATAAAGAGAAGCTGTCACCAAGAAATGTTTGATGCCTCTATGTGATGAAAAAAAAAATGTTAAGTTAAACAAAATTTTTTTTTTAATGTAAAACAAATTAAGTTACACCCAAGCACATAACATCCCCCCAATAAAAAAAAGTTGAGCCCCCCCGCATATATGCATGTGCGAATGTAAATGCACACGTTGGGGCACCTACAAATGAAAATATTGATTGCGATATACATGTTACATATCGTCACGCATGCCAGGAGTTAGAGCAACATGTCTAGCACCATACCTCCTCTGTAACGCTAAACTGATGATCTATAGGGGCCTTTGAAGTATCTTCTATAGAAAATATAGGGTACTGAAGTTTGACGCAAAAAATTAAGGTTTGTCATGTTGGGTATCTATTTACTCTCGACACAACCTCATCTTTTATATTTTACCAAAATTTGGATAAATTATTA